TCTGCCCCAGCGCTCCCCGAGCCCCGCACACCGGGGCGTGGTGGTGCCCCCGGTGGTGTGGGGGTCATAGAAACACAGAATCAGTTTGGTTGGAATAGATCTCCGAGATCATCGAGCCTAGCCTGTCACCACTCACCACCACCTTGTCAACTAGACCCGTGTCCAGTCTTTCCTTACGCGCCTTCCGGGACGGTGATTCCGCCGCCTCCCTGGGCAGCCTGTCCCAACGTCTTATCGCCCTTTCTGTGAAGAAATCCCTCCTAATGTCCAACCTGAACCTCCCCTGGCGCAGTTTGAGACCATAAAGTCCGGGTGTGTGCAGCCAGCGCTGCCCTCCCTGCGCCTTGGTGGGATGTGGTGCCTGGAGCCGCTCGGAGGGGAAGGTGCACAAGGCGTTTGCTTTTGTTCAGCGTACCCCTCGGAAAGAGTTTGGCTTGGAACAGCCTTCCTGGTTTCTAAAACTCTGCCCTGGGTGAATTTGCCAGTGGCATGAATGGAAGTGTTCACGGCCAGGTTGGATGGGGCTTGGAGCAACCTGGTCTAGTGGAATGTGGCCCTGCCCATGGAAGGAGATGATCTTTAATGACTCTTCCAACCCAAACCATTCTATGATTCTAGGAATATCCTGTTAAGGCAGCCCACCAGGAGGCATTTTTTGTGATCAAATATTTAGGAATATTCTAATCTGCCCTATACCAGGGGTTGTTCCTGTTCCCTGTACAGCCAGCAGTGCAGTACAGCATTTCCTGATTCACAGGGCTGGAAGCAGGGAATTAAATCTCCCATTGCTCTGTGTGTGTAAAATATTCACAGATGGGATGAGACTAAGAAGAACGTTAACGAGGACAGTGCAATAATGGCAAGGATTTGGCAGAGAGACTTAATTGACTTTTATTGAGGCTCCAGCGGTTACACCTGAAGCAGCAGAACTAGACCAAATCCACGGGTTCTAATGGGGTGAGGAGACCTAGAAAGCAGAAATACAGAAAAGGAAACAGGGCAGGCAGGGAAGGGCAGGTTTGTGCCTGTCCTTACATAACGGAGGAGTTTGCTATCAGTGACAGTGATGCGCTGTGGGATTACATGGGCAGAGCTGAGTGAAAAACAGGGAAGGTAAAAAGCCTATCACCCTTAAATTAAACACTCCGTTCAGAAGGAGAGTGAGAAACTGTAGTTCAGAGGAGACAGTGCAAGCAATGAGTGAGAGCATGAGGTTAGACAGCAAGCAACCCCTCCAGAGCCTGGTAACATCTCCAAGAGGAAATATAAAAGCCACACGTGTGCAGGTGCTTGCCAGTGAGTCAGTCACTGAAAGCTGCAGATAAGCACCCAAGGAAAGTCCCAGTGCTGTCTCTGGGCACGGGGAGCTTTCTGCAACATCAGGGAGAACTGAACATCAGCAACACGAGTCCAGTGGGATTCAGAGCCATCAGGGAGACAGGGATGAAATTAAGGACGGATATTTCAGTTTAGGGTGAGCAGTGGGAAGATATTGACAGCTGATGATATAGCAGGACTTGTGATATATAGAAGAAATTCTTTACTGGGAGGATGGTGAAGCACTGGAACATGCTGCCCAAAGAAGCTGTGGCTGCCCCATCCCTGGAAGTGCTCAAGGCCAGGATGGGGCTTGGAGCAACCTGTTCTAGTGGAAAGTCTCCCTGCCCACGGCAGGGGCTGGAACAAGATGAGTTTCAAGGTCCCTTCCAACACAGGCCATTTTGTGATTCTCTTGTTATTTTGTGCCCTCCTGTGTGCCACCTCATGCACTTCCCTGTGCTGTATGCCATCCTCCACCCTTTCTCTCTCTCTCTTCAGAGCTTCCTGGCTTTCCTGGCTGTGAGATGTATCAACATCAATCAAAGCAGCATTTTGAAATACTTTCTACTGCTGTGGGAAATGATTCACAGAATATCAGTTATTGATACTGAATGTGGTGTTTTGGCAGAGCCAGGCCAAGAGGAGACAGTCAGTGGCATGAACCTCTTTCCTCTCTAGTGTCAGTGCTTTGAACTGGAGGTAGAGGTGACAAGGTCTCTTTGTAATTTCATCCTGTCATTTTGAATCACACCAGGATCCTTATCAGCAGGGTTTTTTCAGACAACAGATAGCATATTACTCTCAATGGCATTTCCTTTTTAAAACAGCACTATGTGCTTTGATCAACTTGTAAAGGACAGATGAGAGTTGGATGCAGTTAGATTCGATGTAACAGCCTGGGATATGAGAAAACTATTGGCATAATACACAGTTCTGGACACATGAGTTAAGGGCCAGTGCAGTCTATAAACATTCTAGAAACAGCAGAGGTAATATTTATGGAAGTAACCTTGAAACTAGATTAGAGAGGCACATGTCCCAGTAGATTTCATATACTGAAGTCTCCAGACTTAAACTGAACAAAAGATTCAATTGCTTTGCACGGTGTGTTAATGACCAGCAGCTAGGAAAAGTGTGTAAAATTCTCAGTTTTGAGGAAAGGTGCTGTCTAAAACTAACTGGCACTTGGACTAGATTCACTTCCAGCCATTGCAAGTTCTTGTGTTCTAATTAAGCCTTGGATATCTTTAGCTCGTACCCCTTCAAGGCCCATCAAGGGGTATTTACTTATCCTTCCCCCTGCAGGTGTGTCTGCTCCTGCCACATGTCAAGCAATAAGGGGACCTGGAGGTGAAATGCCACAATGGGCATCCTACAGAGACTCTCAGGACAGACAGCACAGCCTGAAACAGCTGCAGCACAGCAGAGGGTTTGGTCTGTCCCCAAGCAGGGCAGCAGTGAGTGTAGGCACGAGGAGGACCAAAGAACCTGAAGGTTTCACTGTACTGATGGGTTTTGTCGTTCAGATACGGCTGTGTCAGTGCAGGGGTAAGAAGAAGAGCTGTGAATAGCTCCCAGGGCCCGGGGGTGTGCACAGGAGCTGTGCCCATGTTCAGGGCTTGGAAACTGGCAGGGGGCCATGGGAATCCACTGGAATTCATCCCCGCAGGAAGTTCTCATCCACATATAGCACTTCCTCCCCTGGCAGCAGCCACATGCAGTGCCATGCTCCCATGGCACAAGCCACAGTCTGCAGGGCACTGCTGCAGAGGAATTAGGAATGGTGGGCAGAGAGGGGCCACAACATCCTAGGAGCTCCTCTCTCACATCCTGCGTGATGAGGGCTGGGGTGTGGGACCTCTCTGGCAAACATTTCTACAACTGTTTCACTCTGTTGAAGTAGAAAGTTAAAAACATAAATGAAAGTTCAAATCCTATGTACAGCGCTGCCAGGAACCTTGGGGCATTGCTTGGGCCATCTCCTGCCTTGATGCAGGATCAGCTCCATTAAACATTTTCTACACAGAAGCTTGCCTAGTGCTTTTTTTTCTAAATCCTCTGTGGATTAGAGTCCTTACTCTCCCTAAACAACATGTTCTAGGACTTAACCATTCTCACACCTAGAAAATGTCCCTGAATGACTATCCTGAATTGCCCTTCTTACAGTGTTGAGCTGGCAACATTTTGTTCTAATCCCCACGGGGAAGATAAAGGTATTCCCTTCCTGTTTGTGGAAGCCTTTTATGTATTTGGAAATGGTTATCGTGTCCCCGCAGCCTTACAGCCCTGCAGGGACCTTCCCCAAACTAAACACGGATGGTTCCTGCAGTCCTGCAAAACCAAGCCCCGGGCTGTTCCCGAGACCCCGCTGCAGTCTCTCCATCAGGCCTCACCTTTCTCAAAACACAGTACCTGCCAACGTTTATATGCCCCAGTGGGACGTTTGCCTTTTTCACTGCAGCACCAAATCGGCTCTTTGATCCACTGTACTTGGGATCTTTATCTGCAAAAGGCCTGGCTAGCCAGCGGGTTCCCATCTTGCATTTTCACAGATCATTATCCCTACCTAAGTACAGTACTTTGCACTTGTCTGCATGGAATTGCACCCCACATTTTGCAGAGTCTTTTTCCATTTTGTCGAGAGCATTTTGACTGAATTGTGGCCTCCAGAGCAGTCATGACTCTTCCCAGATGGGTCCATTTGCCAAAGACATAAGCATAATTTTTATTCCTGCTTTTGGGTTGTTATTAAGCACTTCTAAGTGCTCCCGGGACTAGGGCCCAGATGGGGTGGGAAAATCACAGAATCATTAAGTTTGGGAAAGACCTCTAAGATCAAGTCCAACCATTTACCCAGCACTACTGTGTTTGCCACTAAATAGTGTCCCCAAGTGACATATCTGCACGGTTCTTGAAGGCTTCCAGGGATGGTGATTCCACCATTTCCCTGGGCAATCTGTTCCAATGCCCAGCTACACCTTTGGGTGAAGAAAGTTCTCCAAATATCTGAAACCCCCCTGGAATAATTTGAGGCTATTTCCTCTTGTCCTATCGCTTGTTACCTGGGGGAAAAGGCCACCCCCCACCTGTCCACAACCTCCTTTCAGGGAGTTGTCGAGAGCAATAAGGTCCCTCTGAGCCTCCTTTTCTCCGGGCTGAGCCCCCCCCAGCTGCTCACCAGACTTGTGCTCCAGACCCTTCTCCAGCTCTGCTGCCCTTCTCTGGACTCGTTCCAGCACCTCAATGTCTTTCTTGTCGTGAGGGGCCCCGAACTGACCCCAGGATTTGAGGTGCCTCAGCAGCGCCCAGAAAGGGAGATGGTCAGTGCCCTGGTCCCGCTGGCCACACCATTGCTGATATAAACCAGGATGCCCTTGGCCTTTTCGGCCAGCGTGGGGGACACACAGTGGAGGTTCGCGGAGGACACACAATGGAGGTTCGCGGGGGACACACAGTGGACGTTCGTGGGGGACACACAGTGGACGTTCGTGGGGGACACACAGTGGGGGTTCCCAGCACTCGCTGGGATGATGGCGAGCGGTCAGACAGGCGAAGGGAGCCGGTGCGGAGGCCGAGCGGTGTCCGGCGCACGGCGCGGCCGCACCGCCTTTGTCCGCGGGCGGGGAGGGCGCGGCGCGGTGCGGGCCCGTGCGGCCGCAGTGCCGCCCGCCGGCGGGCTGGGCCCGAGCATGTGCAGCTGCGGCAGGCACCTGGCAGGGAGCCGCAGCGCCGGGGATGTGAACCAGGCGGGGAGGAAGGCCCTTGACTCATCAGATAAATCCAGCCCCGCACGGCGAGCGAAGGCGGAGGAGGCGCGGCGGCGAGCAGGGGAGGAGGATGGCGGGGGACAGCGAGCAGCGGCTGGAGGAGCAGGGGCAGCCCAGCGGCGGCGAGCCCTTCCTCATCGGGGTCAGCGGCGGCACGGCCAGCGGCAAGGTGCGGGGGCTCGGCGGGGCAGCCCCTGGGGGCCCGGGGGAGCCCCGCGGTGCGGTGCAGCCCCCCCGCGCCGGGCGCGGCGGCCACATGGCAGCGCGGCGGGTCCGAGCGGCCGCCCCGCCACGTGCGCTCGCCGCGGCCCCGCCGCGCCGGCCGGGCATGCGGGGCCGGCGGTGGGGATGGGGATGCGGGTGTGAATGGAGCCGCGTGGGCTCGCTGGCTGCCTGGGGAAGGGCGAGCCTGCGGAGGGAGCACGGCCGCCGAGGCCTCTCTGCCCCGGGCGGCGGCCGGAGCCCCGCGGACACGTGGATGGAGGGTGCGGGGTGGGTACGGGATTTGCCCCTTCTTCCCGGCCGGGATCCTGCGCCCCTCCGCCTCACCGGGGAAGGGGGGCGTCCAGGCGGGGAGGGCGCTGGGGCCGTGCGGGGCGAGGGTGGCCCCGGCTCAGCCTGGGGGGGAGGTGGCATCCCCCTGCAGAATCCTCCCGTCTGTGGCTGTGGTCGGCGTCTGCCCCCGTTCCCCTTCACCTGCACCGTCCCCGGGGGCTGCCCGCCCCACAGGGACGATGCAATTCTTTAATTTTTTTTTTTTTTTTTTCCCGTAACGGTGTCGGTCTTGCGTGGGGGTGCCCTTCTCTGCCCAACTTTGGGGGTAGCAGGAGCGGGGATTCTGCAGCAAATGCTGACTCACAGCGGCAGAACGACCTCCTGGCTGCTGTGCCGGGAGGGGCTGGTCCTTGGCAGCGGCAGGTGGGAGCCGAGCGGGGCGAGGGCTGCGGGGCCGGGGCAGCCGCCCCGCCGGGGCAATGCGGGTCTTCCCGGGAGGCTGCTACACCCAAACTGCAGCGCAGGGCAGCCTTACAGCTCTTTAGCATTTTTATTGGAGTTATTTCACGCTGTGGGGTTTACTTTATTTGTTTATCCTGAGCTAGGTCGCTTTCTCTCCTAATATGAAAAGAAAATTACTTTTCCCCCCCTTATTTAAGAGCAGTAAAACCAGCTACACGGCTCATCAGCCTTTCTGTGCAGGGCAGCACGTCCCACCTGCGTTTTTAAGAGGCATTTTGGAGAGCGTGAATAGATTTGGAAGTAGCTATACCTTTGAAATATTGCTTGCTAAGGAAACTGAATGTGGGCCAGCACGGGAGGAGGATGAGCCTTACATCTCTGGTTTGTTTTGTGTTTAGAGGTGGGGACCCCATTTTTTCCCTTGAGGGGTGGCATAATCCAACTGCTGTGTTTCAGCCCAGTGTTTTAAGCATGTGCCTCTGAGTACCCTATTGATTCTTGGACTGCTGTTGCTGCTGCAAGGGGGAAAAATCCAGCTGTAACAGGGGAGGGATGGTGAGAGAGGATGCAATCTCCTCCAGTGGGAACCAAAGCTGGATTGTTCCTGCAGCACCGCTCCTGGTGACTCAAACACGCTGGGTTTGTCTGTTCTCTGATGCGTGGGTCTGCCTCTCTGTAGTTGTCCCAATAACATCGTGTCTGGCGCTGCTGAACTGTTATGTCTCTGAACACGGTGTCTCAGGCCCACAAGGTAAAAGCAGTGATTACAGTACAATACGCTACAGTGGTTCTCAACTTCAAAGGGAAAATGCTTAATAGCAGCAGGCTGCCTTAGTAAAAAATAATAGGGAAATGGCTCTTCCTAGCAAGGGAGATGTTACTAACTGGCTTTTCCTGTCTCTCGGCTTTGATTTCCCCCCTCTCCAGTGATTGCTGCCTGCTAAAAACCTCTGTGCAGTGCTGTCCATTGAAGGGAATCCAGCAGATCGTACAAAGTTGGTGGGGAAAGACTGCAAGAAATATGCTGGTGGGAAAAAAAAAAAAAGCTTGCACGTGGAGAAGCAACAGGAGAAAAAGGACCTGGGGTTTGTGCCCACAGGCCCTCAAGTTCACATGTGGTGCAGATGCAAGGCAGGGCTGCAGAGAGGCTGTCCCCCACCTGCCTGGTGACAGTGTCCTGTGCCAGGTGATGCCACGTGCTGCAGCACACTCCCTGGAGAGCAGTGCTTAGCTAAGGGCTTGCTTGCAGCTAAAATCGAGCCCAGGGGCCTACTGTGCTGGTGTGCCGGCTCTGGGTGAAAACAAAGCGCTAGCGGGAAGGTGAAGCAGGCACCTTCCCACTGGGAAAGTGACAAATCCATCTGACTCGCCTTGACACCAACTGAGGGTTGTTGTCACAACACACCCCTTTGGCAGCACACCAGCCCAAAGATAACAGAGGGAATTTGCCTTCCAAGGGCCTCCCACTGCTGCTTTTTAGTCTGAGATGGGCAAAAAGGGCTCCACAATCCCCCCTACCACTTTCAATGCACCAGCGTGGTCAGGCTCTGGAAGGAAGAGATCCTGTTTGTAGCTTGCCACAGCTTGTGTCCTGTGGTGCCCTGGGGAAGCTGGTGTTGGAAGCAGCTGGCCTTTCCAGAGAGCTGGGGGGTGTTTGGCTGGTATTCCTTAAAGGCAAATCTGTGAGAACTCGAGCTCAAAGGCTGAGTGCTGTTCCCTAGTGAGCAAAAGAGGCTTGAGCAACTTTGACCACTCAAATAGGATAGGTAGAACCCTGAGTGCTCTCCTGGTTTTGGCTCTGAAAAGAAATCTGGACTGTGTTAGGAGCAAAACTGGGGAGCCACAGAGCACCCTGGGCAGGCTGGGATGCTGCACCTTCTGCGAGGGCAGTGCCAGCTGCATGGTGGCTGTTTTGAGTCAGCTCAGCTGGGACAGGCTCTTCACAAAAGCTTACTGGGAAGAAGCATTTCTTCCACTGTCCCCCAAAATCCAAGCACTGTGCAGCCCGGGCAGAGCTTGCTGCAGTTTCCTGGGGTAAAGGAGAGGACATGGCATTAAGACCGTCCCCTCCTGTGTCGAAGTTGGAGATGACTGCAACCGCCTCATTTTCTCAGAGGGATTCCTAAGGCTGTTTTAAGAATTTTCTTTAATCCTATGCATTTTCAAGTGCCCTGCTAAAGTTCTAGTTTCCCTCTTATACCCATGGTCTTTGTGCTAAGAGCTTCTTCCCTCCCTCCTGCAAGAGATTCCTGACTACCAAGGACTGCAGCATGCAAGGCAGGCAGCCAGGCTGCGGGCTGGAGGAAAGTTCAGGGAACTGACTACTGAGATGAGCTGGGAAGTGTTGGGATACCCCCTAAAGCCCTTCCTATATCCTCACTTCAGTTTAGCTGCTGGGACCTTCCAGCTCTGCCAGCTGTGCTGGAGCAGCTCGCTCCCAGCAGCAGTGGGAGCATCTGGTACTGAGGTGGCTGCAGGAGTGGGAAGAGCTCTTTCAGCTCAGGCTGAAGCATTAATTGTTGTCCCCACATGAAGCGAGGTGCTGATTGCTGCCTTCCAACAGGAGCTTGTAAGAAAAGACAGATTTGTGAACGGCTGAACACTTTTGTTGGCTGTTCATTACTCAAACTAGTGAGGGCTGAATGTAGGTGCCACTGTAGCCCCGTGGTTGCATCATTTGGGTCTTGAGTTAGTACTTGAAGTTAACAGTCTGTTTGAACATGCAGCCTCAGAGTTTCCAGGCTGCAGAGCACCAAGATTGCAGCCAGGTGTGTTCTTCACTGTTACTCCACCAGGCACTTTGCTTTAAACACCAGAAAGGCTGGCTGAGTCTGAGCTGCCTGCCTAGAAAAGTGAGCCAGCTGAAGGAGGCTGGTGTGGGACAGCCAGCGTGTTGTTCCCCAGGGAAGCAGTGGTCTGAGTTGCATGAGGCAGTTCCATCTCTGCACGGGACTTCTTTGGTGACAGAGCTCAGTCCCCTTCCCCAGCAAGGGCTGAGGTCCCCCACAGCAGCCCGGGGATCACTGCCACCATGTCACCACCTGGATGGCTGACAGAGAAGCCTGGGGGAGACCTGGGAGTGACCCAGGGGCACCAGCAGGAATTTCAGCAGCCCTGTGCCGGTTCAGCACCATTTCCTGGTGACGTTTGTTCTGTGGCTGGCAGGAGCCCTGTATCACAAGGTCTGACTCGTTAAACACTGGTGTCAACGTGTGCTAGAGACTCATCAAACTTTCTAGTAGAACGTTGTTCTGTGCCAACCCCGATCAGACTGATACACAGGACGTTTTGATGGGTCAGCCCTTTCCTGTTACTGATGGAATATGTGTGAGTTCGTTATGGAGCCTGGTTACCATAGTCCCGTGGGCTCAGCCAGCTCCGGGCTATGGAGTTTGCAGCAGGGGCTCAGGAAAAATATCCTGTGCCTAAAACCGGAGGATTGGGAGGGATTGTGCTAGAGGGCTTGTTTTCCTCCCTGTGTGTAATCTGTGTTTAGAGCCTCTGTGTTTGTGCCTGTTTGTGCTCCAGCCTGGGATTGCTGATCACATGCACAGTGTCCCAGGGTGAGCGAACAGAAACCTGGCTATCCCACTCCTGGACTGGTTGGCCTGTGGCTCACAAAGGGAAAGGCAGGAATGGTGAACCTGCCTGGGAAAGCTCTGGGTGGAGGCCCAGGCTTTTGGTACGAGAATAGCAAGTTTCCAGTCCCAGTGTTGCCGTACGGATGTGCTCCTTTACGACTGGAAAGGATTGCGTGGGTCATGAACTAGGGCAGACATTTGATAGATGCTCTGGGACCCTTCCCAATTTGGTATCTGTTCTGTGTGTCACCCCAGTCCACCAGGCACTTCCTAGTACTCTATAATTACCGTAACCTTCAAGAAGAGACCAAAATCTGTAACTCATGTGCTGCTGGAGGGAAGGGAAGCACTGCCACGGCTCCTGACTTCAGGGACATGACTGAGTAATAGCCCCCTGTGATGCCTGGAAAGAGAACTGTGCTACAGGGGACACTGGAGAAATGAAACAAGTAATGACAGTGGTCCCTGATGTTTGATCTTAGGGGAAAATCCTGTTAGATCCCAAAACTGGTGGCTGTTTTATCCACAGGCATGTGATGAGGGCACCCCAACCAGGCTGCTGCGGATGCAGAGCCATCAACAGCCCCTGCCAAGCCTGTTCACATCCCGATCCTGCAGGAAGGGCATTATG